CTTGGTTGTGAGATGGAAGAGTTCTGGCTGGTGTGTATACAGCGATCCAGGTCAGTGAGGTAGGGTGGGAGCTTGGTTTGTGAGATGGAAAGAGTTCTGGCTGGTGTGTATACAGCGATCAGGTCAGTGAGGTAGAGGTGGGAGCTTGGTTGTGAGATGGAAGAGTTCTGGCTGGTGTGTATACAGCGATCAAGGGGCAGTGAGGAGGGTGGGGCTTGGCTGTGAGGTGGAAGAGTTCTGGCTGGTGTGTATACAGCGATCAGGTCAGTGAGGTAGGGTGGAAGTGGTAGGAGTGAGGGAGCTTGGTTGTGAGATGGAAGAGTTCTGGCTGGGTGTATACAGCGATCAGCGTCAGTGAGGTAGGGTGGGGCTTGGTTGTGAGATGGAAGAGTTCTGGCTGGTGTGTATACAGCGATCAGGTCAGTGTGAGGTAGGGTGGGGAGCTTGGTTGTGAGATGGAAGAAGGTTCTGGCTGGTGTGTAGCGATCACAGCGATGGAAGGTCAGTGAGTAGGGTGGAGCTGGGTTGTGAGATGGAAGAGTCTGGCTGGTGTGCTGGTACAGTGATCAGGTCAGTGAGGTAGGTGGGAGCTTGGTTGTATGGATGGAGAGTCAGTGTGGTGTATACAGCGATCAGGTCAGTGAGGTGGGAGGGTGGGGGCTTGGTTGTGAGATGGAAGAGTTCTGGCTGGTGTGTATACAGCGATCAGGTCAGTGAGAGGTAGGGTGGGTGGCTTGGTTGTGAGGTGGAAGAGTTCTGGCTGGTGTGTATACAGCGATCAGGTCAGTGAGTAGGGTGGGAGCTTGGTTGTGAGATGGAAGAGTTCTGGCTGGTGTGTATACAGCGATCAGGTCAGTGAGGTAGAGGTGGGACTTGGTTGTGAGATGGAAGAGTTCTGGCTGGTGTGTATACAGCGATCAGGTCAGTGAGGTAGGTGGAGCTTGGTTGTGAGATGGAAGAGTTCTGGCTGGTGTGTATACAGCGATCAGGTCAGTGAGGTAGGGTGGGGGCTTGGTTGTGAGATGGAAGAGTTCTGGCTGGTGTGTATACAGCGATCAGGTCAGTGAAGTGGGGGGTGGAGCTTGGTTGTGGAGAGATGGAAGAAGTTCTGGCTGGTGTGTATACAGCGATCAGGTCAGTGAGGTAGCCTTGTAGTCGAGTTCTAGCTGTCTGTATACAATCAGTATTGTGGAGCTTGGTTGTGAATGGAAAAGCAAATCCATGCACTAGATCTGGTTTGTGGAGCCTGTGTTTGCCTTTTTGTCTACATTAATCATAAAATAGGTAGGTGAGGTAGTTCAGAAATCGTTCCTGTCAGCAACGTTCAGCTCCACTGGCACAGTCTTTTGATGTGAAACAAAACACCAACTAAATTAATCACCATCATGAACATAAATGCACTGTAAGGAAGGCAAACTCACTGACAACTGCAAGCATCGCAATTCTCACCATTTGTCATCCACAGTGTTATTTAGGGTATGGTTGGCAATATAGAACATTTACTCGAAGAACTGAAGTTCCAACAAGAATCACGGGCATCGTTTTTGGTATCAAATCACCAATGATTATTAAGAAACGACGTAGAATGGATGAAAACGAACTCCAAAGTGAACTCTCCGCCATCAGATAACTAGATACTGTTTATAAAATCATAGATCGATGGTCATGTCGTTGATCACTGGATTGTCTGGAGGACAGTAGCTTGGCGTACTTATTCTGTTCCATCCCCAAACAGTGTATGACACATGGATGCTCATATGAAACCCAACAGGTGTGTGTGGCTTGCGTTAAGATTGAACATTTTAGTTTCATACTGTTTGAAGTCATTAATTATATTCCACAACATGAAACTCGCTATTATAAATATGGAATCTTTGAATTATTACATTACACGTATGATATGAACTGATCTTTTAATACACTTTTCAGGTGGTCACTGGTAATCCATGGATGCATTGATGGTTTTCCCGGTACATAACAGCACTGGAATGTACTGGTAATAATAATAAGGCTGATGATGTGTTGGGAATATTTGTTCAAGCCTCAGATAAGTATGGTCTTCCATCGATCATGGAATTGAAAACATCAAAGTTGCATATGCCATGAATTTGATCAGAGGCCACCAAAGAGCTAGTCACATTACTGGGAGATCTTTGGCGTGACGTTCACAAAAAGGTGACATTTTACAAGGAGTTTTATCCTTGGGGATGACGCTATCCTTGGTGTAATGAATAGCCAGCACATTTAGGCTTTGCATTTCGTTTATGTTCCGGAAATAAACCGTCGACTGACTTCTTTTAGATGTGGTTGGAAATGTCACAGAATGAGAACAGAAGGAAACCGCTCGCCTGAACAAATCTGGATTAATGGTATTCTGAACAGTGCGAACTCAGGACACATGTCTATTGGAGAAATATTTGGCGATGTACCTACTGTTGTGACCTGTCTTGCCGATGCCGATCAACCTTATGGATTTGATACTGGTATGGAGTCACACACAACCAACATGGAGCATGTTAGTCAATCATCTCTGCAACTGACAGATGAACAAAATCGTCGCCTAAGGGACCGTCACAAGTGGACAACTTTCACTCAAAGATAACGTTATTGCTTGTGTTAGAGAACTTGACGGTTTATTCAATTTTTAAATCCTGTCTCGAATTAGGGACAGAAAAAACACGTTTCATCGACTAATCTTTAGTGATTTATCATGTAAGTAAGATATATTTACAATATTTACACTTTGCAGAGCTACAAAGGAGTGTCCGTGGATGCTTGTGAAACTAATTATCCGTTTTATAGGACTAGTTAGTCTTTAAGAACCCCGAATATTACATCCATAATGCTTTATCATTATATTAGACTAATTGTTGTCTATTTTTCGCTGACCCGTGAAGGTCCGGGTTAGAATTGATCTTCAGTAACCCATGCTTGTCGTAAGAGGCTATTAACGGGATCGGATGGTCAGGCTCGCTGACTTGGTTGACACATGTCATCGTATCCCAATTGCGTAGATCGATGCTCATGCTGTTGATCACTGCATTGTCTGGTCCAGATTCAATTATTTCCAGACCGACGCCATATAGCTGGAGTATTGCTGAGTCAGCCTGAGTGCGGCGTAACACTAAACTCAGTCACTATTTTTCACTATTCATATTATTATTTCTTCATTGACAATAAAACACCATTGCTTACTAAACTATATAGCTGAAACCGTAAAATGAGTTCATGTTATAAGTTTCTGATTATATAGTAGACTGAATGAGAATAAATAAAATAATTACCGTGAACTATCTTCATAACGAACTGTGGGTTTTTTCTTGTCCGAGTACTTAATGTAATAGGTTAGTCAAAATTGCGTTTGAGGTCAATTTTGAGTTATATAACCGCAGTGTACTAAATATACTATGCTCAAAAAGTAAGGAATAGTTTGAATCATTCAAACATATCTCTTTGGTACTGGCAAATCGAATGCTATTATATCATATCTGCTTGGGAGTAGATCAGACCTAATGAAACCTTATGGCGGGTGTAATGAGATGGTGCTTGCACTAGGTGGTTAAAAGGTGTGGGTCAAAATCCAAATTTGCATTTTTCAGCCAAAGTCACTAATATGGGATAAAACCACCTGTTTGCCCGGCATGCATGACTCCTACCATGCATACTTCTCATGATTCGGTGTGAAGCCCATTTCTGGTGTCCCCCGCCGTGATGTTGCTGGAATATTGCTAAAAGCGGCGTAAAACCAAACTCAGTCAGTCAGTCAGTCTCATGATTCGACCAAGGGTAGCTTCCTACGTATTATACCATGCATGACTTGGTAAATTCTCGATTCTGATCGTGATTGACAAATGTCAGGGTGCAAAATATTGTTTTGTTCACAACATTACTGCGCATGAAAGTATAGTTACCATAACTACTCTTTCAAAATGTATTGGTTTTCAGCTTACTTTTCAAATTACCTAAACTGAACATCTTGAATGGACACGATTTTAAGATATCTTCAAATACTTCCGGTTCCAAAATGGCGGGTAACAACTCGTGCTAGGGGTGTTCTCCACAGCACGCCAAGCAGTTCGAGGAGTTGAGGACACTGAGAGCAGTGACGAATTTCAGGACATGGTGTCTCTAGTATGGAGAATGTTTCACCTCGTGAAGAAATTTTTCATCTCAAACAACATACACTTGGTCGCACATAGGGTGTTTGTGTGAAATATGATTCACGATGGCATGAATGTCAGGATATAACAGTCATGTTATATATTCAATATAAACAGATAGTGTACTTTTTGTTATGTTTCAAAATGCAAACAAGTATAATAATAAACTAATTAGCATTATAAGGCAAAATATAAAGACGTACATTGACATCTTTATTGTACAGTCCTAACATGTTTTACCACTGGCAGATGAAGACTAACTTCAACATGTTTTCATGTGTTATCATAATAATGAAGATGGAAATATTAATGAGTAACAAAGTTGTTTGTTGATCAATGTGTGCTTATACCACCAGTTGTGCTTGCAGGTGACGCAGCAGAGATCGCAAACAAGTCAAGAATTCTGGGCTATCATCCGGGTACTCACGGGAAAAAATAACAATAGCAACAATCAGTCCACTGAAATTGCTCTCAATCAGTGTTTCTTTACATCAACATATATTGAAATCTTATTTTTTGATTAAAAGATTATATTTTTGAACATGAATGAACTTGCCTACACTTGAAGTAGTAGGTGAATAAACTTTTAAGTGAGTGAGTGAGCGAGGATTGTTTTATGCGGCTTTAACCAATATTCCAGTAATATCAGTGCTGGGGACCCCACAAATGGGCTTCACATATAGTACCCATGTGGGGAATCAAACCTGTGTCTTCAGCATGACCAGCAAACACTTAACTACTAGGCTATCCAACCAACCCTTCAAGTCTGTGATACCTGACTGACAAATTAGACCCTACATGCTAAACTGCAGTTGATCATAAAAAAAGAGGAGACGTAACTTCATCAATCATTTTTTATTTTATTTTTTTTCATGCTACCATATTTTACAGACAATATAGACATTTGTAAATAAATACCTCTGATGTGAGAATGTTGTAATTACGGAGTGAAAGACACATTTGAGACAAGGAAATATTATATTCTTCTCACCAAGTATTCAAGGTTCAGTTACTACTTCTGTATCCTCATGCTCTGGTCCTCTCTAATGGTTTGTAGAAACACATCTTTTATAAAATGAACATGAATGGACCAATCACATACATTTTGAAAATGAATTCAAACTTGCAGCCTAAATAGTCCGCAATCATTCTCTGTGAAGGATGTACTTGGTAAGAAATATATATCATCAAAACATTTATGCAACTGAAGTATCAGAGCTACAAAAAATAGCTTTATCTAAAATAAATTGTTGGACCAGTGAACTCTGCAAAACTAAGGGATAACTGAATGTATCTGCAGGTCAGATGTCTGGTCCTTGTTTTGTATTGAACAGCTGACCTTTGGTCAATAATTGCATGTTAAAGTGGAAAGTCCTTGAAACTATCTGAAATCATAATCAAGATCACAAAATATGATGTTAACAAACTTGATCAGTTTGGCTTCTAGATGTTGGTCCTCTATCAGGTGCTTGCACTCGGTACAGAAAGTCAGTGTCATCTTTAATAATATATTTAATTTAAGAAGCATATCCACAACCTCTCGATGTATGAACCTGAACATGTCTGGAAATTGACACTGAATGTTTTTGCATGTAAATAATGGCTGTTCTGACAGAAACTTAAATCACCTTGGCTCCATTCTGAAGCTGAAAGTGTAAAATTAAATATCATTTCAAAAGCTAGGAGGCGAGGACCTGGATTACCTCTTACCACATGGGCCAGCAAGACAAGGTATGAAGCCTTCTTGTAAAAACCTGCACAACTTGTAAATGTCACCTGTAATTCACACATTCATTAGAGGTGTCTGTCAAAGAAAAAAGTTTCTAAAATCCACTACAAGAACTACAAAATGCACTATATCAACCATATCACTATATTGAAAGTTTCATACAGGGAATATACGTGAATGGCAACAGTTATCACATTGGATGTACTGATGGATGCACATCAACACATTGTATATATGTGGTCCACAGAACCAAGGTGGGGAGCAATGCTTTCTAGCCCAATGTCTGTCTATGCATGATTGCATAAGAATCCTTAAAGAACACATCTTATGAATCTCCACAGTTCAATTGAACAAAGAAAACGTCTTTCTAAAACATCCTAATGTTTCCAAGTTTCCTTATTCCTTGTTTTGTTCTTGTGAAAGTTGGTCCCATGAAAAACATCAGGCACAGATTAGATGTAACTTGCATAAGTAAAAGTCGTCATTAACATACAGTAACTGTGACACTGCCCTGGTTCTGCAGTAGAGAAAGAGTTGAAAGTGTTCCCTACACGGTGGGCAAGGCTAGTGTCCTCTATCCTAGGTAAAGCCCTATGTTACGACAGGTGCTGTCTCCTACCAGCTGGGCAGCACCACCAAATCTAAAAGCATTCTCCATGGATGTATTTCTGTACATACCATCACAAGTCACCTATTTCATTCAGACTCCCCTCTTTTCTTTGCTAAATTATTTAAAGAAGAACAAGTTGTAACTCTACCCATTACTAAGTTACTATCAAGCACTAGTCGTCCTGCATGAACAGTGTGATTACATGTAAAAGAAATTTGCGGGATAAAGACACAAGAGTACTATGATACGTGTCATCTCAACTGCCCTGCCGATACCCAATTTGTACTATAAAAATAACAGCCCATCTGCTCAGATTTCTTCAAGTCACAGCCAGAGAACAAATTGTTTCATACCTCAAGTCTAGTATAAGTTTAAACCATATTGCGCTGCCATCTTGAAAATGTCTTAGAAGACTGCTGTGCAACCAGTGTGAAGTCTACTTTCAAGTGTGGTACAGTGTCAATCAACAGTACCCTCACCTGCACAGGTTTACCTGACAGAGACCAGTCATGTACTATGGAGGTGGGAAGTTAGCAGATAATGGACAATGGTATCCAAAATAAATCTACTATATGTAAACTTGGTACCATCATCATGTAATACCTACATGTTTAATATACAATTTTTACAATGTCAAAGATGTTTAGGATTCCAAATGAGGAAGTGCTTTTCAACGCAAAATATTTGACACTGTATAATAAATGGGGTAGTTTCCTTTCCGTCACTTCATATAACATATTCAAAATACGAAATTTATTACCCAGACACACACTCACCTAATAATCTGTTTTTCAAAACATACCTGTTTAAGTATACCCATTAACTCGACCATAATCTGTAGTTCCTTATTTGACAGACTGAAGTGTGTGTGGTAATGTATCTCAGCTGTAGCTCATGATGTCCATCCATGCACAAGTGTGACTGCCAGACTAGCCTTCCCCTCCCACCCACCATCTATAACAGGTGACTGGGCCCATCCTGCAGACAGCTGTAGCTCATGATGTCCATCCATGCACAAGTGTGACTGCCAGACTAGCCTTCCCCTCCCACCCACCATCTATAACAGATGACTGGGCCCATCCTGCAGACAGCTGTAGCTCATGATGTCCATCCATGCACAAGTGTGACTGCCAGACTAGCCTTCCTCTCACACCCACCATCTATAACAGATGACTGGGCCCAACCTGCAGACAGCTGTAACAAACGTCTTTCACGTGTAGCTTGTGTAACAAGTGGACCAAGCAGTTTCAGCTGGGTATATACATGAGTCCTAGGTTACACTGCTTTAACAACAAATAACGGTTTTGACACCTGGGGTTGTGAGATGAATGCCTTCAAGTCCTTTTGATTAAGTTCCCACAATGGAAGCAACATTTACAACACACGACTTACACATGATCAAATATACATGTCTGTCTGGATTATCAGGGAGAAGCAACCTAAGACTGATAAAATGTTGGTGTGATAACTAACAAGGACTGTCTATTGTGAGAAGCAGAGGCAATATCACATCCTTTTTGGTGCTTGTAAAGGGGAAGATCAGAGTTCCACTTAGCATGAAATATGGTGGGCCTTTGGTTGTTTATTTCAGCATATCCAACAGCAATGGTTTTAGTGACCTCTGGTCACAGATGGACATGTGCTCACAGAATCTCCCAGGTCAGCATGTCTGGAAAATCTCAGTCACACAAACCAGTTTCCAATGCTTGTGTGACCACCAGCATCCAGAGTCCTAACCAACTTGTTTTTCTTTGGTGCTTGTGAGACTTGTTCACAGACCAGTATCTTCAATATCTCGAACAAAAACCATCCATATTTCTGACAACTTTGATCTTCCATCTTATAAGCAGGGACTGTGCTCGAGAGCCAGAATGAGAATCAGATTACAAGACCCACTATACTTTGTACTATAGTAACCCTCTAAAGTGAGAAACAACCGTGTTACCTAAATGTCCCGGGAAAGAAAACAGTTGACAGGCACAATGTAAGGAACTGTTCCAGAGAGAAGATGATAACTGAAGCAATCAGTCCTCAACTCAGCAAGTAGTCTCTACAGATAGCAGGCAGTCATAAGTGAGTTGAGCAGAATTTGTTTAAACACTTTGTAATAAAATCAAACAATTTTAATAAAAAAAAACAAGGAACTTTAGTTTAAAATGTTCAGTGCATTATAACACTATCCTCTTCCTAGAGAGCAAGGTGTCCACATGTTCCACCTGTAACTTGAGTCTCACCATTGCAGACACTCAGCCTATCAACTCAGACAAGCAGTGCCTTCATAACAGTCTTGAGTCTAACAACCTGAGACAATTGAAAATGACAATCAATCACTCTACAAAAGCTAGCATATTCACATATCTACTGCATTCAGTCATAAACAGATGGCACGATGTTACATGAATAATATTGTCAAAACTCCTCAAACAATAATCACAAAATAAAATTCACAAAACTAAGTATTACATCCATAATTATCATCTAATATCACACATAGGAGAATATGGTACATAATTTGCATTTTCAAAGTGCATGATAAATATATTCTTATTCACTCTCTCAAACAAAACAGGTTACATGGAATGTAGTAGCAAAATGATAATGACAGCTGTATCTAGCTGTTGATCACATGGGGAGGGAGTCAGTAGGTCGCTGAGTCAGCGGTTCCTATATTAACCAACTATTGATATAGGAGCCTGACTCACAGTTCCCACTGATCAGGTGGTGTACTCATATAAGGTTACGGAAATACCTCAATCAATGTCGCTCAAAACTCATTAGGAAATATGATATGTGTTTGTGTAAATACAACAGACTGGTTGCTGAATGAAATGACCCTCTGACCAGTGATACAACAAAATAATTTTCTCAATCACAATTTTTGTCTTATTTGAAAAAAATTAAGGCCACAAAAAGCCCATGATAAAAAAACTTGTACTTAATTCTCATTAACACTGATAGATTTGTTCTTTGCCATGCACAGAACAGTTTAGAAAGTCATACCATTTTGGTTATATTGCAATATTGAAGAACAAACAGCCTATTGTGACCTTTATATGAAATGACAGATCTGACCACTGCTGTGGGATACTGGGCAAAGCATGTAAAACACCTTCAAACACTACTGATGGTCCTCCCCTGGGTTGAAGAGATGTTTCTGCTGCCTCAGCACAAATGATGCACAGATAGGAGACAGGACTACCCTTCCAAAACATCTGCTACAGACACATTTACACATTCACATCCAGGTGTAAAGGTTCACGTTCAGGTATATATAACATACGTATACAACAATATTTAAAACAATAAAACAACTTCCTACAAATCAAAGTTAGTATCTGCCATGTTACAGGTGGCATGTTCCTATTTTCTACAGATATCGTCTCGGAAACAAGCAGAATTCCATCTCACTGCATCTAGTTCTCAATGTTTTATCTATAAAGCACATGAAAATAACAGTTGGTTAAATATGTTCAACCAGTAAAGAAGACTGCAGATTTCATTATTAGTGTTTCAGACAGAAGGGCAACATATTGAAGATAAGTTAAGAGTAACTGATTTTGAAGACTGATATTAGAAGCAGGACAGTTCCCCAACACAATCACCTGATCATGGCTGGGGCTGGGTTATTAATACTTCACAGACAACAGACAATAAGTCAGGGTGAAGAATATGCTTGACCTTGTTGACGTCTTTCAACGAATAAAATACTAAATAGCAAAGGGTAGTTTAACATGTGACAGTCTTCAAAATATGTTTGTGATTTTGAGAGTGTCCCTTGTTGTGTATACTCGGACATAACACTGACGAAGCTCTACACATGCGAGGGCCTCCTGTCTGTGGAGGCTGGGAGCTGCCAATTCTTCCATGTGGAGATGTATAATACATGTAAGTCATGGTGGAACCACACAGCTGTTGCTACTGAAGATCTCAGACAAGCCAAACAGTTTTTGAAGGGGTTGAGATATGCTTTTTCACTTTTCAACTGGATATGATCTTAGTATTGAGTATATCTTGATATGTGTCGGTGACATATTACAACACACTCTGATATTATTTCAATAGGCAGACCAATTTTATTTCTTGTTATACAGATAAGCTGGTCGTATGTTTACAAGAATAAGAAAAAAAAGAAAAGAATTCCCTCCCCCCACCCCTTAAAAAATATAATCCTAACGTTTTTATTGGCCCAAAAAGTAAACTTGCAAGAATTTTTAGATTGTTTTTTGCCCCATAAACACTTAATAAATTGCCCAAAGTAAAATACTTTTAGTATTTTAAATGAATATCACTTTGACTGGTGATTTAAAAAAATTAAAGTGTCTCGCCTGCCTTTAGGTTTTCTGAGGACAATATAAGTTGTATGCTTCTCTCGAGGGTATATATGGTCTGATACGCTCTTTGTAGCAGTGTCACCGAGCGGATGGCTCGGTGACACTGCTACAAAGAGGCGTACATCAGACCGTATTACCCTCGAGAAAAGCATACAACTTATATTTATCTTACCACCATCTTTAATGTACAAATATATTATGTTAAAGATCGCTACTGACTATATGACATGCAAACAAAATGGCGTCTGCCTCTCGACTGGATTTTTAACATCAGTGAAACATATTCTGATGAGCATAAAACTGTTATAAAAATTGTTAATTATGTTTAAGCTGAGTGTGCAAACCACTCAATGTATAAAGTAGCTTAAATAAAGCAGTGAAAGTCGGTCAAATAAATCTGTACAAAGTGAACACAAAAACAGCTGATCGAACGGTCATATTATGTCAGCATACGATTGTTAGCGCTTCAGCTTCTCGGCGGAGAGCTTGGCGGTTACCATGGCAGCGGGTAATATTTTTTCCAGTTGTCGCCCTCCTGGGAGGGTGACACGGAAACTTGTTAAACAGTCATTGATCAATGAAATAAAAGAATTTTACATGAAGGTAAGATAAAAATCCGTAAAACAAAAACAATATTGGTCTGGCCTTAGTAACAAGAAAAAAACAACCTCTCCTAAAACAGACATATGAAGCATGTTTCAGTGGGGTCTGATATACAGTCATGATCATCTACTACACTTCCCCTTCTAGTTTATCACGCTGCTGTCATGGCTTGCTGTCTCCAGCTGTTAACACCAATATTGGTATATGACATACACATGCTTGGAATTACTACAAGTATGACGCTAACAATAATTATCACATGCCTGACTTGTACAAATAGAAGTGGAATTTAGTTGATGAAGTTATATTAATGGAGGGACTGGTGAGAAGCTCAGGACTAGAAGTATACACAGCCAAACATAGACAGGTCTCCACAGAGACTGATGTTCCTCCGTCACAGTTACATGTACCCTGCACAGGGCTGCCTGGGAGACATCATCAGATTACATTTATCACAAATTGACCAAACATGATCCAAAACTGACATACTCCGAGGTTGTCACAGCAACTGAGCATATACTTCAGCAGTTGGATTTCAAAATCAACAATTTGTTGTCATGGATACATGTGATACATAACTATAATTTCTGGGCAAACGGAATCACTGTTTCTGAGATGTATGATGTGAAATATCTGTCTCAGTGATGTTGACAAGATGCTTGTAATGAGGATATGTAATGGTGTTCATCATATATAATCAAATGCACAAACAAAATTTTGGCTACAACAAAGGTTGCACTTTATATGCTACAAGTCAGCAAATGCTGCATGGGTAGAGGCAGCAACAGCAACAGCACTTCACACCCATACTCCTTGGGCATGTTGTTAGATGGGGATTATAGGTACTGGAATAAGTCCACCATGATCTGGCCAGAAGGGCATCACTCATTAGGGCAAAATGGAAAATGGGACCATCTTTTAAAGGCTGGAAATACTCCCATATTGTTGGGTAAAGTAAACCTATATATAAAAGTTCTCCAGTTTCAGTAGCATACCATTAGCTGGTCATTATCTCATTGTTTAGTAGTCTGCCGCAAGATCTGAGCAACACTGGACCGTTTGATCAGTCCGTGAGGAACAGGATCTGCCCTGATAACACCATGGGCCATACCCCAGCTGAAGTAAGTATATGATCATGGTTGTGGTGACAATTACTTTTGGTCGATCATGGAACATGTCTACATAGTTGTCGTACAGAACTCGAGGTATTCATGTGAGTGAGCATGGTAAGAGATGTTTTACGTTCACCCCTTCAGGAGACATTGGGAATGGTGGTGGTGGTGGTGCTGCTGCTGCTGTAAAAGGAGGCATTTGAACACGGGAACTTGTTGTGCAAGATAGTAGGGAGCTGTATGTCCAGCTTACTGTCATCAAAGATATCTTAAATATAACATGGACATTTGATGTCATCACCCTCCTCAAGCAGGTCACATGGACATAATTCTTCATTCTTAAGGAGAACAATGAACATGTACAATAAATTCCTTACCAGAACTGTTATCAACCTACACTGAACTGCATATTATAGCCAAGTAACCTACTCCATGTAACACTCATGAAGAAAGAGGCAGTAGAAAATAATTCTATCACATTTATAAGCATTACATATGATCTCTTTTATTCAAGAATCATTTAATGTTTTACCTAAATTCAGAAAATGTTCATTTGACCTTTACAACAAACTGGTCAAGTGTTAAAACTTGCCTTGTCCTGACACCCCATTTGTATGAAACTGAAAATAATACTTGGGATAATAATACCTAACAACATCAGCTGTCCTGCTTGACTTTGAAATGAGGGAATAGTAAACACTTCTAGGAATGATGAATCTAAAATCATTTGAAAGCACTCATGTCCAACAGGTTTGGCAGCTAGCATTTATCACCATGAATACCGGACATTTTTAAGAAAATTGTTCCTTCATTCAGACCAAGCTCATTCAATCTTGTTTAAAACCATCTGGCATACGGATGACAGTCTCACTTGAAGCAGATACACTCTAGACAGAGCTCATGAAACACTGAGTCAGGGATGAATCCCGGGACACACGTTGTCGTGGTGAAACTAACGAGGTTGCTAAGGTCTTCGGGATCTGCTACTTGAGTCTTCATCTGTGATTTAAAACAGTCACTTGATCAACAACATACATAAGCTGTATATTTGGCTAGTCCGGGCGAAGTATTGGTACCTTTGGAATGAACTCAATGAACAAAACCTGAAAGAGAGATTAAATATTTTAGCAATGTGAAACATAAATCTACTTGCTGAGCACAGACCATAGCTCACATTCACAGACCAAGTTACTGTCGATTATGGGCACCTACAATTGTCATACCTGTCATATACCACTTGCACAATTCAGTTGTAGGACAGCAGAAACCAGTTACGATGTACCAAACATACCTCCCATAACACTGTGTTCTAACAGCAGTCACATTTAAGGAAAAAACCACAAATACGATGGCCTCCTGATACAGGAATTATCACTGGGGAGTGAGTGAATGTTCGGTTTAACACTGTTTTGAATAGTATTCTAGTTACATAGGAGTGATAGGCATCAATCTATGGCTTCAACTTGGCAGTCTAACACTGACAGCATAAGTCGCATTAGCTGCCCTGAGCATTACATGAAATTGGGCTACTATATGTAGACTATGTTTATACATATTATAAAGGGCATGTTTGGATTACTTTTTTCAACCTAAACAAGCAGACAAAAAGAAAGGTGGATCCCATCAAAAGCCGATGTTTGGAAATATCCCTGATGGTTCTACTCTGATTTTGATAAATGATCCCAGTGCAAGCATGTTCGGTGTTCTGAAGCATGGATGGTGTGTTGACTGATCTGACGCTGATACTATTTCTGTGATTAGTACCTTGATATTTAATGTCATATACTAATGTCATCCCACTTGACCGATGATGAGATGATATTTTAAACACACATTTGATGTAGTTGAAGCTATAAACTAAGTCAATCAAAGTTTGCCACTGTTATAATTGAAAAATCCACAGTTTTGCCTTGTTTAGTAACAGTGTTACAATCTACTGGCAAACAAGGATAAGTTGAGCACCGACCTGACAATTGACCGGTATTAGCATGTGAGTGCCACCCAGTGGCACTTGCCATTATTAGCGAAGGGGTCCCAGGTTGTCCGTGATCAAGTGTAGTGCGACGTGCTACATCGACGTGAGAGTCTTATGAGCAAGGCGTGTACAGGTACATGTGGAATCAATTTCATCGTCATGCAATGCACGTGCACTGGCCTACATCTGCTGTGAGTGAGTGAGTGAGTTTGGTTTTACGCCGCTTTTAGCAATATTCCAGCAACATCACGGCGGGGGACACCAGAAATGGGCTTCACACATTGTACCCATGTGGGGATTCGAACCCGGGTCCTCGGCGTGACGAGCCAACGCTTTAACCACTAGGCTACCCCACTGCCCCTACATCTGCTGTGAGCCGGTCCAACTTATCATTGTTTGCCAGTACACAGTAACGACGCTACCACTCAATATGCTTGGGACATGTTCGAGCCAAGTGATTCAGGTAAAAGGTAAACCAATGAGGACATAAGGCACTGGTAGTTTCTCATGGAGTCGCCATGATAAGAGTGCCAGAGAGTACTTACATATTCCATCATACTACTGGAGTCACATCTTTGTTTACTCAGACGAAAATGCAAGCCAAGCTGAAAATAGATATCAAATATTGGAACCAACGAAAATAAATATCTGAAACATATGGAAGTGATGGTTTTTGGATTGATTTTCATAATGCTTCATAATGATTTTCATAATATTTTCATAAAGTTTGAACATATCTCCAGAATACTGATTGTGCCTACAATGCACGCTTAATGTTGGGTTATGTTCTGTAAGGCTGCAATCTGAAGCATCGTACAGCCATTATTACCTTGTGATATAGATGACTATTCTCCCAGTCTAAAACCTTCTCTATTGCATGCCTAGTCTGAAACAAGGAACATGTAGAACATACAGAACAACAGTACCAAATCCAATATGATCGATGCTTTGTTTATATGCAAACATGGAGACAAATAATGAGATACTTGCAGTTTCTCTGAAAGCAACTTTCAGCTGGCAATAGGAATACAGCCACAGTTCACTGATTTCCTGGCTTATTACAGCTACACCTCTTCAGCTAACCAGTCATGGGACAGGTGATGGGGCAGGACAAGTGATGGAGTCCGATACACGATGGGGCATGACAAGTGATGGAGTCCGATACACGATGGGGCATGACAAGTGATGGAGTCTGATAAACAAGGGGCATGACATTGGATGGAGTCCGACGCACGATGGGGCATGACATTGGATGGAGTCTGATACACGATGGGGCAGGACAAGTGATGGAGTCTGATACACGAT